TACCAACGAATAGTGGGATTGACCGTCACATTATAACATCCCCACGGCTGAAAGGGCGAGCATGTTCGGTGTGACGGGGATTCGAACCCGCAGATTGCGAGTCGAGCGCCCTAACCACCTGGCCATGGCGGGCCCCCTAGTAAGCTACACGAAGAATATGTATCGAGGTTAAGAAATTTTGGCTTTAATTTTATATTATGTTATGTCATTAGACCGAGCGAGGCCCAGTAGTTAGCGTGCCAGACAGTTACCCTGTTACAATATATATATATACGGTATATTGTGCTCGTTTAGGGGGGACCTTAAGTGTGTGGGTGCGTTATAAGAGTAACGGTCAAATCTCACTAGTCGGTCTAAATAGCCCAAGAGTTGGCGGTGGGTGATGTTGGCTAGCTGTCTTCCTTCTAGTCTATCACTTCAAAATGGACAGCTAGTACAAATAGCCCTCGAGTAGCTTTGTGAGAAACTCAATAAACAAACTTTCCGTCATTACATAATTACCACGTAAACACTGATCAAATGTTATATTAGTATCTTATTAAACCATTTATAATCAACAATTTTTGAGAATATTTTTTAAAACATTCAGTTAATTAGGTAAGTTATACACCAGAAACTAAAACATCTGAAATTGCCAACTGTGGAAATAGTGAAACACACACACACACAGAGATTAGATAATAAATAATTTCGTATGTAAAACCAGTTAATTTAAACAAAACTGTAAGAGAAATTTGGAGTTTAGATGTCAAAAGAAAGAAGAAAAAAGTTCTCTTTTGAACGTAAAAATATCAAACATTCCTGAAGTCCATATGCATTGCACTTACATCTACCACTAACATTCAGATATGGAAAGTAAAGTGTATTTTCACTACCATATTTTATACATTAGTAAAAATATAAATGAATTTAAAGTTAAAAAACTAAATTGTTTACAATCAAGGAAACGCGACCTTTTTTGAATTTATCACTCCTTTCAGTCCTATAAATTACGCGATCATCATCATCATAAAAAAAAACTTTTTTGTGCCATAGGAATGCTGTACATCAAGCTCAAAGAGTATCAAATAACACGAATAAAAGGCTTAGTGTAAGTTACAACGTGGACACTATTTAAGTAATAAAAAACTAGTGTGTCCACTGAAAGTTTTATAAACGTATGGTGCACATATGGTCCATCTCCACTGGTATGGCGCTGTAAGAAGAGAGAGAGAAAATAAATGTTTTTTTTTTTGGGGGGGGGGGCTATCAAATGTGTTGAGAAGGGACTGTAGCCTAATATAATGTTAGTATTTGATGCTGGAAGTCATAATTACCGAACAGTAACACTCCTGCATTACGATGGGTCAGATTTTTTTTTTTCTATCCATTATCATCAGTATATACTCTAGAACGGCATTGGAAATGTTCCATTGTACAAGCTTACTCATTATTAATTGTGTAAAAAATATATCTTAAAATTCTGTTATTGCACAGTACAATAAACATAAGAACAGCTGTTAATTTCCAAAAGCTTTAAGTTGCTAAGAATTTTTTCCGACTACTACAACTTTGGTTTTGGTAGACATATGAAACCATGATTCCTGAGCTTGATGAACATGTAATTAATTGGACGTAATGTGTTTCCGGAGTTTTGTGTGCCGTAAACTCGTGTTTCGATAACATCATCATTTCGAGGAACAGGATGACATGGATAAATGGAAATGAAACCTTTAACTCAGATATTCTTATCGTAGTAAATATAAATATACTATAAAATTTTATCAACTTATATCCTTTAAACACATCATACGTTTAAATAACTTATAGCAACAAATTTTGTGAAATAGTCCGCAGATGCAAATAATCAATCTTGTTAAATTTTGAAGAAACAATTTTAAAATAAAAACGGAGGAAAAACTGTGTATTATAAAAATATGCAAATAAATATTAGGTTTCACACTTATTTTCTGTAATGCTTATTTGTTTACATTGTTGTGAAACATATGAGACATGTATATCATAACTGAAACAGGTTCAAAAGTTGCTAAACTAAAACGAAATTTAATAAAATCATAAAGCATTAAACACTTTCTATTCTGTAAACATGGCTACTGAAGTTGTACTCAGTTTGAGCTATTGATCAATTAAGGCAACCAGTCAGCAGCACTCTACCTCCCACGCTAAGAATATGCCATGGTTTCTCACAGTTTCTAATCCAACTCATTTCCGAAGTCCAGAGCTCTGCCACAGGGCAATCCGCGTCTCAGACGC